TATCTATGGCAAGAAGCAATCATGCCAGGCAACAAAGTAAGCTTTCTATTCTTCTTTGAGGAATATAAACAAGCATTTGGTGGGCAAGTGTATAGGTTATGAGCAGCAAATATCCGTCAGCTAATCTGCTGTACATTTGGCTACCGACTGCTACGAAGGCGTCAAATTGCAGGTGGGTAAATGTATAAACGACAAAGCATCCAAGCATTGAAACGTAGCCATATTTTTCAGAGTAAAAGGAAACAAGAACACTTGAACCATGCTATCCATTGCTATCAACACTCGAACCCAACCTCACAACCGACCTCTGGAAGGGATGACGGAAGGGGTAAGAGACATTGTATCATCACCTAGCACTCACGAGATTACCAGAAATGGGAAAACTCAGGCACAAGAATACGAGGGTATTGGAAAGGAAAAGGTTAATAATGCAGAATCTGATGGAAAAGGGAAAATGCAAAGAACTCAAGGAAGGTTTACTGGGGAAGTGTCACTCAAACCTCGAATGGAGGATTGGATGATGGAAGAAGTAGGAGAGGCTCCAGATGATATAGCAACCAGGGGGATTTCATACAGAGAGGCATTGAAAACAAAATCAAGCTAGGAAAAGGAACGAGAAAGGAGGAAACAGGCAGAAGAAACTTGGGATGGGAATCTTTTGTTTGGTGATAAAGGAGAACTAGGTGAAGGAGTCACAGTAGTGGATTCAGAAAACGGGCCACAGATAAAATTCTCGGAGGCAGAGAGAAGAAGGATGGAGCAAGTTTGGCGAGACACGCTTGTAATATCCTAAATTAATTTTTAAGATTTATGTAAAATATATATATAGATATAATAATAATAATATTTTATTATAATATTTTTTAAAAAAATTCAAACTTTTCACTGAAAAAGAGAGAAAGAGATAGAGTTTGGCAAGACACGCTTATAATATTTTATTATAATCTTATTATAACACCCCCACATATTTACTGGGGGAGGAGGATTTCAAACCCAACCTCCAATCCCAGCTACCCCCACAATTCATTTCCTCCCCACAAGCGCAAGAAGAAAAGAGAGAAAGAGAGTTAGAGTGTGCATGAGAGAGGATCATACCGGTGAAAAAAGAACAAGCTTTGAAGATATTTTATGTACATAAAATTACTTCTTTTTATCAAACTTTCTTTATGAATATTTTCTGTATATTTTAAACTTTCTATTTACATTATTACTATAGTAATTGGAGAAAATTTTAAGACTTATATATGATATAAGTATTAAGTTTTGATAAAAGATAACTATAGAAATTTAGAAGTAAATGATTTGTTAATTTTAATCAGTTTAGATTTATCTACTTGTTAGTTTTAGTATTTAAATTAATTTATTTAGTTGAAAATCTGTTATTTATGGGATATACCATATTTTTACCAATTAAATTTACGTTAAATAATTTATTTGGATTGTTTGACATATTATTGAGATTTTAATCGGTTTAATTTTATTTATTGGATAATTGAAGGTTTTAAAATAATTATTGTAGCTAAAAATTTTATTATTTATGGAAATATATATGGTAGTTTTGATTAGATTATTTATTTATAAATATTTGAAGTATTATTGAATTTTTGATAGTTTGATTTTGAGGTTTAAACTTAAAATGAGATTTTTAAAATTTAGAACATAATAATTTGATATTTGGAAATTGTGGAAAATCCTTTTTATTAAGGTAAATAATTTGGAGGTGGTAAATAAATAATTTGGCTTGTTAGAAAATTTTAAGTTATTTCTAAAATACTTAATAATTTTTGGATTATGAGAGTTGTTGGAATTTAGAATAAAAATTTAATTAAATTAGAAATTTAACTAATATAGAGAAGTTTAATTAATTAATTAATTAGTTTATATTAATATGTGGTTATATTAATTGTGTGGATTAATTATTGGTTGAGCAAAGGTTGACCTTGTGGTAATCCTTAGTATTGCTTTGACGAGAGGTAACCACTTTCTACTTGTTATATGTGCTAATATGTTGTTTCTGAGTATTTTGTTATTTTAGAATAATGATGTGTTATTTGAAACTCGAGTAGATATATTATACCTTTTGAACTATAAAAATTGTCTTGTGGGATTTTTGGAATTGTGATTGAGAAGATTGGAAAAGATATATGATTTATATCTTATGGATTATATTGAGAAAAGATTGAGACAATTTTGTTATATTGTGAATGGTTGGTTGTTGTTTGGATTTTGGATTGAGCTTTATCCTATCACATGATAAGGCCGCCATTAATGCACATTGGATGGCTTCCTTTGTCCCTAGAGTAAGGGATAGACCTTTGTGGCTTTTTATTCGTCCCTCAAAGTGTGGGATAGACCTATAATAAGGGATGGACATTTATCACTACTTATTCGTCCTCCAAAGTGTGAAATAGGCCTATATGTCAGATTAATCCCCTATAGTGAGGGATAGACTTATGTAACTTGTGTGTTAACCCCCATAATGAGGGTTTGGATGATTGATATTATTTGAATATACATATTTGTATTTTCATTGATATATAGATATTGAGATTTAATAGTTATCCCACTTGACACTTCACGAGCACATATTAGTATGTATGATGAGTTGGAAAGTTGGTTATTGAGGCGTTTGTCTCACCACATGGTTTTTACTATCTTCAGGTGATAGTTCAAGTAGTGGCCCATCAGGGAATGCTCTGGAGGCATAGTGTGCTGTTATAGCTTGTATAGCCTCCATGCTTTTGTTTTATGTGCTGACTTGTTATATATTGCCACATAAGGCTCATCTACTCTAATATTGTAAATTAATACTTTTAATTACTATTATCTGGTATGATCAGGCCACTAGAAGGCTAGAGACACCTCAGACTCTGTATGTGACACTCTTTTGAAAGTGTTGACTTTTGACTAATGGGCCTCATAACTTATATTAAAAATAATTTATCAGTTCGTATGTTGAAAAGTATAAGTTTGGTTTGGGCTAATGGTTGAATGATATTTCTAGACTTTGAAAGTCCAAGGCCCAAGTTAACGATCGATGTTGCTCATATTATAAGTTTATTTTTTTTAACCATGATAGCAATTTTAAAATTTTAAGATTTCTTCATTTCTATCATGGTTAATCTTTCAAATAAATTGTTTGATTTAATTTAAATAGGTTTTAAAAGAACGGTCGTCACAACGATTATCATCAAGCTCCTAGGAGAACAATTAGGATTCATGCAGATGAGGAGGAAAGTTCAACAACTATGGGGGGGAAAAGTGGAAAAGTGGAGATTTTTTACATTGGAAATGGATTCATGACTACAACATTCCAAGATGGAGATGACTACTTTTATGCGCTGGAGGGAGGTCCTTGGATGGTGCAGAACAAGTATCTCACTGTACAAACATGGAAAAAAAAAACTTTAATCCATGGAAAGAGAGCATTAACAGAATAGCTATATGGGTCAGGTTGCCAGGACTGCCGAGGGACTATTACGACAAAAAATTCTTTTACCACCTGGGGAAAAAGATTGGAACTGCAATCAGAGTAGATGAAATGACTCTCACCAGAGTAAGAACTATGTTTGCAAGAATGTGCGTCAAGGTTGACCTAAACGCACCCTTGCTTCCTGCTTATTCCGTCGATGGCAATCAACTCAGAATAGAATATGAGGGGTTAAACCTCATTTGTTTTTATTGCGGAATATTCAGACATGACGCAGACAGATGTCCAAGGAAGCAAGGAGCAGCTTCGTCAACTAGAATAAACCCAGTGAGGAGGGGGTGAGATCTGGAGGACAAAAAGCACTGGAGAATAGAACAACTAGAGAAGAAACCAGAAAGTTTGGTGAATGGATGATAGCTCAAAATCCAAGGAGAGGGGGAAGACCTGCTGTAAAAGACGTCAGAATAAGAGAAGTGCAGAAGAGAGAGGAGATTTGACAGAAGGATGGAAACCACCTCGAGATATGCTGTTCTGGAAATTGAGGAGGAGCAGAGTAGAGATGGGCACGTAGTAGTGGAGAAAAGGAAGCCTCTGAGTGAAATCTCTAACAATGGAGAACTAGGAGAGAGTGGAAAGCAAGAAAAGAAAATAGGAGGGAAAGCAGGGGCAAGTTGAAAATGTCAGAAGGAAAAGAGAAAAGTGCACCGTCATCCAAGAATAGAAAGGGAGAGAAGAAGGCAGCTACACAGAGTGAGGATTAGAGACTACAGATAGTAGGACCCAACAAGGGATCTAAGGAGAGGACAAAAGAGACACAAGGAGGACCAATTAGAACGAACCACCGGGGGCAAAGAGTCAAAATGAGAAGAAACAAACTAGGTTGGAGGAGTGTGAGGAGATGGATATAGGGGAGAAAATAATCCTGAAGGAGGTGGGCCGAGAATGTTCAAATTGTGAAGAAAGAAGTAAAAAAAATAAGGATGGGCCCAGGAGGAAAACATAGTGGACCACTTCCTTGAAAGCGTCCCTAACAAAGTAGGAGAAACCATAGAATTAGATGAAAGCAAACCACCAGACCCCTCTGACCCCAAAACTCCTTATGGGCCTCTTAGAAGTGGAAATCCACTCGCAGGCACAGAGAGAACACAGACAGCACAGGAAAAGAGCTGAACAAAGAGAGGTGGGACTCGAGGACGAGGAGATTCTAGTACAGAATACTGAACAGCCATGTGTTCTTTTGGACTAAAACTGAACTAAGGTTCGTTCCTTTTCCTGTATCTGATTATTATTACGATAATAGTTTGGAATGCAAGAGTAGTAGCTGGGAAGAGATTTGCCTTAGTTGTTAAGGAATTAAAGAGGAACTATAAACCCAAGATTGTGGTGTTAGTAGAGACTAGATGCAGCAAAGAAAGAGCCCAACAAGTAATAAAAAAGCTAGGCTTTAATTACTATGCAATAGTGGACACTAAGGGAATGTCAGGGGGATTTGGTTGCTTTGGGATAACAAGAGTTTAAGAATTAAGGTCGAAGAGTCACACCATCAATTTCTGCACTGCCAAATTATGGGATGGGGACGTGGAGAGTGGTTTTTACTAGGATTTATGCTAGCCCCTGTGAGACAAAAAGAAGAGAAATGTGGGAAAATCTGACCAACTTAGCAGAGAAGATCACTTCCCCATGGCTCCTTACTGGAGACTTCAATGATATTTTGAATGAAGAGGAGCAAAAAGACAGAGGAGGAGCAAATATGAAGAAATGTGCTTGGTTTAGAGCTAACTTAGATAGATGTAAGCTTCTAGACCTGGGATCAGAGGGACCCAAGTGCACTTGGAGAGGTCTACGAACTGGCTTTAAAGGAAGACTATATAAAAGATTAGACTGGAAACTTAGAAATATCCAGTGGAGGAACAGGTTCTACGATGTGCGAGTCAAAGTCAGACCAAGAGTTGGGTCTGACCACCACCCCTCCTAGTCTACATAGATCCAATCAAGAATTATAACTCAAAAGGGCCATTTAGATTTGAGGCAACCTGGTTAAAACATCTAAACTTCCAAGAGATGCTAAAATGCAAATGGGAATAGGAGGATACATGTGGGACTAGAGAACTTGGAAAAACATTTACTACAGTGGAACACTTATACATTCGGGCATATCAACAAAAAGAAAAATGAACTGTTAAGACGCCTGAAGGCGATACAAAGGAAACTCCAAGAGGGGTTTAACCCGTTTCTAGAGGATCTAGAGTATAAACTCATGGAAGAATTAAGAGGAATCTTAGAGCAAGAGGAAGTGTTTTGGTTCCAAAAAGCTCGTACACAATGGTTAAAGGATAATGATAGGAATACTTCCTACTACCACACTAAAACCACTGTCCATAAAAGGAAAAACAATGTGTCAACCATGAAAGATGATTATGGAAATTGGATTGACAATAAGGAGGAGCTCAAGGTCCTTATCAAGAAATTCTTCCAGAACCTTTACACAGAAGAAATTAAAGAAAGACCTTGGGTGAACACTAGACATAGCTGGCCACATGTTTCAAAGGAAGAGTGGCGAGAACTGGGTGCTGAGTTGACCGATGAAGAAATAAAGAAAGCCTTATTTTCAATAGGAGGAATGAAAGCCCTAGGAGAAGATGGTTTCCCGGCTGTATTCTTTCAGTGAAACTGGGAAATAGTTAGAAAAGAGGTCTGTAATGTGGTCAAGACAATGTAGGTTGACAAAGAGGAGATGCAAGAAGTAAACATAACCTTAATCACACTTATTTCGAAAGTGGAACTCCCAGAGAAAGTAAACCAATTCAGACCAATTTCATTGTGTAAGGTGGTGTACAAGTGTGTCTCTAAAATTCTAGTCCAGAGATGGTAAAAAGTTATAGCCAAAATCATTTCACCTTATCAAGTTAGTTTTGTGCCAGGAAGGAACATACATAACAACATCATTATCAATGAAATGATTCACTATATGAGGAAAAAACGAGGTAAGAAGGGCCATATGGCTATTAAGGTCGACCTAGAAAAACCATATGATAGAATGAACTGGGGCTATTTGGCAAAGGTCTTGCAAGATCTAAATTGCCCCAATGAGATGGTGAGTAGGTTGCTAAATTGCATGAATACTACCACCACCCAGATTCTCTGGCATGGGTCAAAACGGGAGGAATTTAAGCCGTCAAGAGGCTTACGACAGGGTGATCCTATTTCCCCCCATCTCTTTGTGCTAGGCATGGAAAAACTCACACACATGATCTTAGACAGAGTGAGTGAAAAAAAATGGAGAAGCTTGAGAGCAGGAATGAGAGGTCCAATAATATCTCATATGATGTTTGCGAATGACTTGGTTTTATTTGCAAAGGCAAATATGCCTCAAACTGATGTTATTCTTCAAGTTTTGTAAGTTTTTGGAGAGATTTTTGGGCACAAAGTTAGCAGTGAAAAAACACAAATTTACTTTTCCTCGAATGTCTCAAAAAGAGTGAAAGGGAGATTTGTGGAAAGAGCTAATTTAAACCAGTGGAAGACCTGGGACGATACCTGGGAGCTAATGTTACTTTCCCGAGGAAAAGAAGTGATAAACATAGAGCGCTCCTAGAGAAAATCAGAAAAAAGCTCAGTGGATGGAAAGCAGAAAGTCTATCACTGGCAGGAAGAATCACATTGGTAAAATCTATCACAAGCTCCATGGCTCTATATCCAATCTAGCATGAGAGGATCCCGTATGGAGTGGTTAATGAAATTGAAGGGATTCAAAGACAATTCATCTGGGGAGAACAAGAAGGGAAACGAAAATGGCATGCAATTTCCTGGGAAAAAGTATGTCAACCTAAGGAGCACGGAGGGGTGGGAGTGAAATCGCTGAAATTAGTCAATGAAGCACTCTTGTTAAAACTCATTTAGAGAATGAAAATAGAACCAACGGCTTTGTGGGTCCAAGTAATACAAGGTAAATACAGGAGGGAACAAGGCCCGATTATTAAGCCGGTCGTGCAAGAGCCCAATTCTCACCTATGGAAAGAGCTGGCAAAACTCTAGACAATCTTTAAGGAGAAGAAGCTTATAGAGATAGGGAACGAGGCAAACACCTACGTGTGCCTTGACTGGTGGATACAAGGGGAAGGTAGATTAATTGAGCATCTTCCAAAAAAGCACACAGTTAACTTGGAACTTCTAGTCAAGGACCTGGCCAATGAAGATGGCTCTTGGAATTGTATTGAAATATAAAAAGTAATACCTGATGAAATCAGAAGGAAGATACAACCGCTGTCGAGGCTAAATCTATAAGAGGAAGATGCGAGACTGTGGAAACCAGACACGAAAGGAGACTTCTCCACAGCCAGTGCTTACAAAAAGCTCAACAGACTCCCTAAGGCCACGAGTAAATTGTATTGGCAAAAGATACGGAAGCTCCAAGTGCCAAAAAGAATAAGAATCTTTATATGGAGAGCTTCCCACAATAGGCTACACACGAAAGGAACTTTAAGTAAATGGAATAGAGGAAGTGACAGATGCATAATTTGTCTTCAAGCCAAAGAAGACTTAATCCATGCCTTGAGAGATTGCAACAAAATAGCAGCAATTTGGAGAACCATCATTCCAAATAAACTAAAACACGGCTTCTTCAAAATGGATTGGGCAAGTTGGTTACAAAGCAACATAATGATAAGAGGGCAAAACCTAGAGGAAATACAATAGCCAAAATTATTTGTGACATGTTACTGGTTCGCTTGGAACTGGAGGAACCGAAGTAACCATGACGAGGAATTTGAACTACCGAGGAATGCGAGGGATGTAATTCAGGAGCATATCAGAAACTACAAGGGTAGGGAACCAGTAATGGAGGAGGAGGGAGGAAGAAAAGAGATTAGGTGGATTTGTTGGAAGCCACCGAGGAATAACTGGTGTAAATTGAACTCGAATGGAAGCATAAATCAAAGAAGAGAAGGGGGTATGGGGGAGTAATAAGGGGAGACTGTAGGGAATGGTTATGTGGCTTCTCGGCAAAATTGGAGGGGTCAACATTCAACAAGCAGAAGTGTGGGGTATTATTGAAGGGCTACAACTATGCAGACAACTCGAATTCAACAAAATAGAAATTGAGCGTGATGAGGCCTAGATAATAGATGAGATATAAAAGGAAGGCAAAGTGAAAGGTAGTTACAGACTCTCCAGGTTGCTGAAAGAGGCCCTACAACCTCATTGGCAGGTAGAATTCAAACATACTTACCGAGAAGGGAATCAGGTTGCTGACAAACTCACTGGTATGAGCCACGGAATAGAAGGGTCCCATCGGTGCTCGATGAACCCACCTTTTGCTGTGGAAGAATTAGTTAAACTTGATGCTGCTAGAATTGCTATCCCTATAAGAATAGAGATTCGCTAATGTACTGGGACTGGCCCCTTTTTTCACTGAAAAAAAAAAAAGGAAACAAGAACATAGGAAGAAAAGACTTTATCCTAACTAAAAGACCTTAGCCCTTTACGTAGGCTTTACACCAAGGAAACAAAAATCGAACCAGACTGGCTGGTTCAACCCAGAAATCGAGCAACCGGCTGTTCCAGTCTGGTTTGACAACTGAACCAAAAAAGAAATGAATCGGTACAAACCGAACTAAACCAGTGCGAATTGACAATAACCAGATGACCCGCTGGTTTGGACGGTTTACCTGGGTCACTCTTCTTTTGTCAAAAGAAACGCCGACATCCTAAGAAAGAAGAAAGTTCATTAGAGGAGGGAAGAAGAAAGAAAGAAAGACAAAAGAAAAATGGAAGAGGAGATGAAAAAGAAGACCTTACCATGAAAGAGCACTGAAAAATTATGATAGAAGATGAAGTGGAGAAGTTTTTTTCAAAATAGATAGCACGGAAAAAAAAAGTAAATGGTTTTAGAAGGATAGAGAGTGAAGGCTGCAAAAGAGAGAGACTGGAAAAATTAGAAGCAGAGCAACACCAACGATCGACGAGAGATTTGAACTGGAATTTGGAAAGAAAGAAAAGAAAGTATGGCTCTAATGGGTTGCCTCTAAACTTTTGTATGCGCCTCTCTGGCATAGCGTGTGTAGCCACTTAGCCTGCTACTCAATAGTCATAGTCTTTCTGATGGGATGATAGAATTATTACTAGTCTGGCACTACATTCATGCCTCTCTCGTTTGGGCAAATAAAAAATTATTTATATTATGTATTCTGTAAGCAGCTGGCATTACAATTTTATTGTTTGATAAAATATTTCTTAATATTCGTGTATTTTGGTATTGTTACGGTTAAATTATCATTATATTTTTTTATATTTTGATATTATGATAATCAATGTTTTATTTTATTATTATTATGAATTAAATTATATCATTTTAATAACCCCGAGTTAATTTTGGTTTGACCTAATAACCCTTGACCCATTGACTTGATCGGTTTAGTGTCCGATTTGATTTTTTGTTCCTTACTTTACACAGACAATGTGCTTACTAAATAATAGTGTACATAAAATCCATAAACCCATGTTTAAAGAACATGACTCTATCAGACCTATTATCCTAACTAAAATATCCATTTTCTAATAAGGAAATGTTTAAATGGAAATCAAACCATAATTTTAAAAATATTTTTATAATATACAAACTAAATATGTGTACAAGTCTGTCTCATTTTACAAAAAAGCTCTTCCCACTTGCCATAACTTCCGGCAAATAGATAATATTTTTATTAATAAATGCATAAATTCCAGAAGAGTGGCTAACTGCTCATTTATGGCGGCGACGGAGGCGACAGCGGCGGCGACGGAGGCCGGTGCGAGGTTCTGTACGATAGCATCGCCTGGTCCACTCTTTCCGGCGGAACACACCACCGCAATGCCTCGCTTGGCCGCATGAAATGACCCTATGGCAACGCTGTCGTTGAACAGTTCGGAGGACGTTCCTCCCAACGACACCAATATGACGTCGACGCCGTCCTCAATTGCTGCGTCGAAGGCTCCCAA